AAAAAAAAAAAAAAAAAATACTCAGGAGGATCAAATAAGTATGACAGACGGGGATTATAGCAATCCTTATTTTTACAAGAAAAAGAAAAAAAAAGAAAAAAGAAATTCAAAAATAAAAGAGGGAGGGAGAGGAGAGAGAGAGAGAGAGAGAGAGAGAGAGAGAGAGAGAGAGAGAGAGAGAGAGAGAGAGAGAGAGAGAGAGAGAAGCAGAGGAAAAAAGACGATAGTAAGAATTAGGAAAGAAAAAGCTAATCTGGGATACGCAAATGTATACAGATAACGTAATAATGAACAAAACTCCATCAAACGAGGACAGGTTTTGAAAACTGGTGAAAGGGCTATTCCACGGAAACTGACAGGACATTTTTGGACTATAAATTCTTACAACGATAACAATGAAATTCAGTATCAATTTATTTCAACTTTAAATGATCAGAACACAAAAGAAATATTAAGATTCACATTAAATGCAGTCTTTTGAAAAGAAAAAAAGTACTTCATGCAAATTCTGTGACGGGCTTAATTTCGGTAACTGACAGTATTTTTTTTCTGTCTCGTTATTTATCGTGGAATAGCCGTGAACATCTAGCTCTCAATGGCAAAATTGAGGGCAAGCGAGGCAGGGGTAGGCCCAGAACAACATACTTAGGGAACCTAAACAAATGGGTAACAGGAAAAGATCAGGGAAACGTAGCTTTTTTGAGAGCATCCGAGCAAGGGAATGAATGGAAAACCATGATGGCCAATGTCTGTCGCAGATCTGGCACTGGATGATGATGATGAGCCGTATACGATAACGTTACAGTCACTACGGAGTTAAGTTACACACAGGCTGGTTGGAAAACAAACAAAGGAAATACACACCGCTATCTTATTTACATTATTTACTAGGTCTTCAATATGCTGCCATTATGATAATGACAAAAGAAAATCGAAATTTTGCCTGATGAATTAAAGGTGGGGGCTAAAAATGTCCTCTCAAATTCCTGATTTCCATATCCTGGACAGTCCCAGGAAATTCAGGACAGTTGGGAAACCCCCTAAATTTGAGTAAGAACAAAAAAACCCCCATAAGTAGCCCTCCCCCCTCCCTCGAAAATTAAAAAGATTATTGAGAATGTTCTACACCCCTTTCGACACTATTTACATTCTTCTTGAGGAGGTGGGCTGCTTCAACCCTCTAGTTTTAGAAAGTTTTACAGCACTTGCAACACAAACAGCTCACAAAAGTGCTGAAGATCAGAGGCGTGTTACCAGAGTAAAATACAAAGAAAAGAAGGAGACGATACACATATAAGGATGATAGATGTTTGATAAGACAGAATGATCAAGCCACACCACAGCACCCACTTATGCTTTGCCTCTGAGAGAGAGAGAGAGAGAGAGAGAGAGAGAGAGAGAGAGAGAGAGAGAGAGAAAGCGAGCAAGCAAAAGAGAGACAGACAGAGAGAAAGAGAGAAGAGAATACACAGAGAAAGAGAGAGAGAGAGAGAAAGAGAGAGAGAGTGCGAGAGAGAGAGCGAGCGAGCAAAAGAGAGACAGACAGAGAGAAAGAGAGAAGAGAATACACAGAGAAAGAAAGAAAGAAAGAAAGAGAAAGAAAGAGAGAGAGAGAGAGAAGTGACTGACCTTTCCGTAGTTTGATGGGACACATGAAGTCATCCTCCTCCTCCCCGGACGGGTACTCGTCCACCCTGGGCGCACCCAGACACAGCTCCAGCTCCGCGGTCTCCACCACAAACAGCACGGGCTCGGGGATACTCTCATACAGCGGCGACAGCCACACGCACCCGGCAGGGCTGCTCACCGACGCTGCTTCCGACTGGATAGACGACACAAGCACACAGACACTTTAAAATAAAATTTAAAAAAAAAAAGAAAAAAAAAGAACTTTAACAAAAATGGTGGTGAAATGGTATATACACAGATAAAAGTTGTTCCCGCATCCGAATCGGACATTGAGGTTTGCCATTTGTTAGTGAGACACCTTCCTGGGATTTGGGCATAATATTGAGGTAGGGTGACCAGTTCCTTTTTTGTTTGTTTTTGTAAAGTGTTTTACGGCGCTCGCAACTGCATAACGTCATATGAGCGCGCGGGACACACCTAATATTTTCAGTTGGCAGGAAATTTTGAATTTTGCCCGGGTGGCGACCGATGCCTACTCTTATCGATGTTACACCACCAAAGGATCTTTAACGTGCGCAACTTGCACACGGGACCTCCGAGATTTTCCGCTCTTGTCCGAGAAGGCTAGGTGTAGATCTTTCCTACCAGAAGATCAGGGGTGTGGTTGAACGACAGCAGTAAGAAAAAGCGAAAGAGTAGCAGTAAAAAGGCTGAATAAAGAATCAGGAGCCCAGAGGAAGGGGCAAAGGAGGTGAGGGCAGAAAGAGGAGACGAAAGCAGATGACAGAACATTGCTGGAGAGAAGGAAATGAGGTGAAAGGAGACAAATTTAGAGAAGAAAATTTTTCGGTCGCTACCCGGATTCGAACTCGTGACCTTTTGAATGAGAGGCCAATACATTAACCTCTAGGCCACGAGACCAGTTCCTATCCACGCCTTTACTTCCCCAACTCAAAGTCGGGTACCCATTACTGCCGGGTAAGCAGGAGGAGGCGAATAAAACATGTGTCCAAACTGAGGCTCGAACCTGTGCACTAACCTCTCCGCCACCGCACCCTCATATATCTCTATATATATATATATATATATATATATATATATATATATATATATATATATATATATATATATATATATATATATATATATATATATATAGAGAGAGAGAGAGAGAGAGAGAAAGATAGATAGATAGATAGATAGATAGAAGGGTTTAACGCCTCTTTCAATACTATTTAAGGTTATTTCAGAGTTTAAAATCGTCTCCACCACAAACAGCACAGGCTCGGGGATACTCTCATACAGCGGCGACAGCCACACGCACACGGT